CCTGACCGGAATCGAACCTGGGACCTTTCAGTCCGCAGACCGAAGCTCTACCATTGAGCCAAACTGGTTTTGGCTCGTCGATGTTTCTAGCTCTCTATCCCTCTCCCTTCCTCTCTCTAAAAAATCAATAGAATATATATATTTTTAAAAACTTGAATAAGCCGAAACTGGTTTGGCTCAGTGGATAGAGCGTCGGTCTGTGGACTGAAGGGTCCAGGTTCGATTCTGGTCAAGGGCATGTACCTTGGTTGTGGGCACATCCCCAGTAGGCGGTGTGCAGGAGGCAGCTGGTGATGTTTCTCTCTTATTGATGTTTCTAGCTCTCTGTCCCTCTCCCTTCCTCTCTGTGAAAAATCAATAAAATATATATTTTTAAAAAATATATTTGTAGAACTAAATAAAGATCTTTCCTCATTCTTCAGGGATCCATGAAGGCTGAACACTTTTAGCCCCAGAAAGGCCTAAAACTAGAAACTCAAAATAAAAATGGAAATTAGCCTGACTGGATGGTTCAGTTGGTTGCAGTGTCCCTTACACCAAAAGGTTGCTGGTTTGATCCTGGTTAGGTCACATCCCTAGGTTGTGGTTCGATCCCCAGGTCCGAAAGTAAGGGAGACAACCAGTCAATGTTTCATCTCTCTCTCTCTCTAAATATATCCTCAGGTGATGATTTTTTAAAATATATTTTATTGATTTTTTACGGAGAGGAAGAGAGAGGGACAGGGAGTTAGAAACATCAATGAGAGAGAATCATTGATCAGCTGCCTCTTGCACACCCTCTACTGGGAATGTGCTTTTGACCAGAATCGAACCCGGGACCCTTCAGTCCGCAGGCCTACGCTCTATCCACTGAGCCAAACCGGTTTCGGCAGGTGATGGTTTTTTTTTGTTTGTTTGTTTTGTTTTTAAAGGAAAGGAAATTACTTGATGACTGGGTAGCCATATTAGTGGGAAGAAAAGAAAGGTCAACAGCTGTTCCCGTAACAGAGAGACTATATGATAGACAGGTTGGGAGAATATATAGTTAATTTGCTTGGGGACGGATGTATTCTGTTTATGAAGTTGGTAGATAACTAGGGTTGGCAGTTCTGGGATCTTTAAGCAGAACCAGACAATGCTAATGTTTCCCTGATAGATAAGCCCCATCCCTTATTAGAAGTTAGACATGGATGTCTGATCAAGCTTGGCTTCCAATCATAGTTGTACAGTGATGACACTGAAGACATCGCTTCGGAGCGTGAGAAGATGCACTTGAGGGAGGAGCCAGGACTCCATGCTCTCCCCTCCTTGGAGAGACTGCCTAGGAGTGCATTGGGGTAATAAATCAGCATGGTGGCCACGCCTTGGGGCCAGGAGATCCTTGCTTGGAGTTCTGAAGGGAGGTTAACCTCAGTGGCTGCTCTTAGAAGCGGGGAAAAGGCGGTGGTGGTCTCAGGCTACCATTCTCCAAAAGACCACAGGCAGAAAGAGTGCTCCAGGGAATGGGTCCTTCCTCATTCATTCTCAGGACACTCCCACTATCCAGCTCACAGAATAAGTGTCAAAGTTGGGATAAGAGCAGACGAAAAAGGAGCCTCCCCATGTTCCTTTTTGCGACGCTGCTCTCTCTGTGGGATAAAGGGGTGGGGTGGGGGGTCTTTCTACCCTGACGCACTCCTACTGTCTTTACTTCCACACTCCCCACAGGTCCCCTCTCCGGCCTCAATCTCTTCATCTGCAAAAACTAATTAAAGGGCCAGGCTGGGTAACTCTGCAGGACCTAATATCTTCTGAAATCTTCAGGGAAGAGGTGATGCTGCCATCCATGCAAAGATAGGGCTCCGTGTCCAGATTAGATATGGAGGTATCAGGTGTGACAGAGTGAGAGGAGCCCGACCACAATGTGGCCTGGGTCTAGTCACACAGGGCCCCGTCACTTGGTGACAGGAAAGGGGTTGTGGAGGTGATAGTAGCTAATCTATCTACCTGTTTACTAGGTGCCAGGCACTGTTTAGAGCGAGGGCAATGGAGAGCCATGGGAAGTCTAGAGAGAGAGGTGGCACCATCTGACTTCCCAATTCTGAGGACCCTTGGGCTTCCCGTGGAGCAGGGGTTCCCAAGGTGGGCACATGCCCCTCAGGGGGCCATTTTGACTTTATTTTTTTTAATATATTTTATTGATTTTTTTACAGAGAGGAAGGGAGAGGGACAGAGAGTTAGAAACATCAATGAGAGAGAAATATCGATCAGCTGCCTCCTGCACACCCCCTACTGGGAATGTGCCTGCAACCAACGCACGTGCCCTTGACTGGAATCAAACCCCGGACCCTTGAGTCTGCAGGCAGACGCTCTATCCACTGAGCCAAACTGGTTTTGGCACATTTTGACTTTTAAAGGGGGCAATTTGAGAATGAGTTATTACCAATGAATTTTTTGCATTTCTTATGGTTTTTGGGTCCTCGTATACAGTATATAAATATATATTGTGACATATTATGCATTTCTGTTCTCTATTATATATTTTGAAACTTTATTTGCTATTTTTTCATATTACTTTATATATATATATATATATATATATATTTTTTTTTTTTTTTTTTACAATTTCTTAGTGATTTTTTTCTCAGTACTTCACCTGTCCTTTCATTCTCTTATTTTTCTCTTTCATGGATGCCCTGTTCTTTGAAAGCATGCTTCGATTAAGTTAATGGCCTTTTAGGCTTCCTCTGCGTGAATAGGAGCTCACTTTTTGGATAAGAATTATACGTCATGGGAAGGAGGGCATCAGGATTTGAGATGCTCAGGTGGGGTGTGGCCAAAAAAAGGTTGGGAGCCGCTGCTGTAGAGGATGTGTCAAGAGAGAGGTGAACCTCACACATCAGTGGGGAGAATTTTTAAAGCAGTTTTACTGTCAATTTCAGAAGTTTAGACCAAAAAAATAGTGGAAAACACTTCAAAGAAGCCCCTGGCATGGAGATGTCCTTGTGTGAAGCAAAGAATGGGTGGCCAGAGAAGTGGGTGATCTGAGGGTGCACATGTTCCCCATTGAGCTATAAACGGGGGCAGAGGTGCATTCTGGGAGCCCTTCCCTTATCCCCACGGACTTTGGTAAAAGGGTGCCTCCTCCCCTGGCTGCTTGCTGGACCTGCCAAGATTTGGGTCCAGGGTCAGCTGCCCATCTACATAAGGTGAGCTGCTGGGGCAGAAGAGTTCTCTATTCTGTTCCCCTGGGAAGGTTTCTGGGTCTCACTAAGCAGTGGCCGAGTCTGCCGAGAGCCAGCGTGTCTGTGGCCAGGTCCAGAGTAAGTCTGGGTGGTTTTCCAAAGATTCTCTGGAGAAGGGAGGCGAGAGGTTAAGGGAGAGGAAAGAGTGCCACTGGGTTACTCCCTGTCCTGACATTCATCATACACTTTGTGATGAAGGTGCGGGGAACCAGATGGTCACATCGGATGGCAGTGGAAAGGAGGACTGAGATGGGGGAACTGGAAGGGGAGAGGCCAATCTGGCCGTAAAGGTTCAGGACAAGGTCTTGGAGCCTTCAGGACAAGTCCGGAGGACAGAGGGACCCGGGTGCCTGTGCCCCTCCCCTGGGCTGGAGATGGTTTGGTGGCCAGTGTTTGGAGGCAGGGAGGAGAGGGCCTGGGGCTGGACCGGCTGTTTCCTCGACACTAAGAGTGAGGGATTGGGATGTGGGAAGGATGAGAGTGGGAGGCTCAACGCTGCCCAGGTTAACCTGTCTTACAGAGGGACTGAGGGTCCAAGCCGGGCATTGGGGGGTCTGGCCGGGACAGAGATGGTGGCGGCAGTGGGGGATTGTCTCAGTCACTTGAGGAGCAGGGAAGGGGCTGGAGGTTCCACAGGATTTGGAGCCAGCGGCGCCTGCAGCACAATCCTTACTCTGGGCGCTACAGCTCAGCTCGTGGGGCTCAGCCTCGGGCCCTCCTCTGTGTGGATCCCTGGCCTTGTCTTTCTGAGACTGTCCCTCCATTGGTGTCTGTCTCACTATCACTGCCCTATTTTGTCTCATCTCTCTCCTGATCTCCACCACAATCCCTGTCTCTTTCCTCTGCCTTCTGCCTCCATGCCGCCTGCCTTCCTTTCTCTGTCCCCGTCTCTGTCTCTGCCTGGTCCCCATCCCCACCCCTGCTCTGCTCAAGTCCATGCTTCACCTTTGTCTCCATCGCCGTCCCTGCCTTCTCTTCCAATGGCCCCCGGCTCCAACCGTCCTCTCTCGTCCACGTTTCCTCCTCGTCTCCATCTGCGCGCCTGCCTCTGTCTTGTCCCTTCCTCTCCTTGTTTGTCTCCGTCTCCTCTCCTCACCCACGTCCCCGTCCCAGGCTCCGCTCTTCCTGGGGCCCGTCTCCCTCCCCCTCCCAGCGCTGCCTCAGCGGTCCCCGCCGGGAGGGACCTCGCGGGGGGCGGGGCCGAGGGGCTGCTGGATCGGAATAACTCGGTTATCGGGACGAATTGAATTAACTTCACACGCGCGCTGCCGGGCCCGTCTCCGCTCCCTTCCGCGGGGCCGCAGGTGGGGCCGCCGGGGAGAGGGGTCGGGACCTCGGGGCTGGTCCGGTGCGGTGCGTACAGACCGGGGGTCTGGGCTGGACCCGGGCGGGATGGGCACTCCGGCGAGGGGGCCTCGCGCAGCCCCGCCCTGAGCCTCCGGAGCCCTCCGAAGGCAGCGGGTACCTTTTGGGACGGAGGTGGGGTCGGGGGGCAGCGGGGGCGGGGTCTGGGCCGTCGAGGCCCCGCCCCCGGAGCTCGCCCCGCCCCCTCGGCGGGGTCCTGCGCGTTAAAAGGCACGCGGGCCGCGCGGGGCGGCACTGGCCCAGCTGCACCGGGTGGAGCGCGGCCGCGACGGGGCGGGCGGGCGGGCTCGCGGGCGTCCAGAGCCGGACTCGGGTCCTTCCTCGGCGCCTGGCACTCCAACTCCCACCCCGACCCGCACCCGGCCCGGGACCCCGACCCCGACTTGGCCCGGCCCGGCCCGGCCCCCGTCCTCGCCCCCACCCCCCGGGCCGATGGACTACTCCTACCTCAATTCGTACGACTCCTGCGTGGCGGCCATGGAGGCGTCCGCCTACGGCGACTTCGGCGCCTGCAGCCAGCCCGGGGGCTTCCAGTACAGCCCGCTCCGGCCCGCCTTCCCCGCCGCCGGGCCGCCCTGCCCCGCGCTCGGCTCCTCCAACTGCGCGCTCGGCGCCCTCCGCGACCACCAGCCCGCGCCCTACTCGGCAGGTGAGCCCAGCCCCAGCCCAACCCTCCCTCCAAATCCTGCAGGTCCCCCAGCTCCTTCCCTGCTCCTCAAGTGATGGAGACAGCTCCCCACAGCCGCCACCATCTCTGCCCGGGCCAGACCTTCCTCCAATGCCCCGTTGGACCCTCTGCCCCCCTCCCTGTAAGGCGGGTTTACCACGGGCAGCGCTGAGCCTCCCACTCTCATCCTTCCCAGTTGCCACATCCCCATCCCACACTCTTTGGTCAAGGAAACAGCCGGTCCAGCCCCAGGCCCCTCACCAGGCCCTCCCCTCCCTACCTGCAAAGACTGACCCCCAAACCTCTCCATCCCTTGTGTTCTTGGAAGATGCGCCTCCCGGCTCAGTTTAACAGACCCCCATCCTTATCATCACCACCCCACTTCATGCCCGACCCCAGCAAGGACCCTTCCAGCAACAGAGCTGCCCAGCGAAAACCTTCCTAGAGCCCAGAGCCACCAGGCCCCTCCTGCCTGGTGTTGGACCCAAACCCTCTTCCACCACGGAAACACATCCCATGCCCGGAGAAAAGGGTGCCCAGGCCATTACGCCACTTTCATGTCGTATTCCCCCTGGAGACTCTCCCAGCCAGAGTCCTGCAGAACCCAGAAGCCGCCCCTTGATCCAAGACCCCATACTCAGCCACCCTAGCCCTCCAATGACAGTCCATGCTGCCCCACCCAAGCTCCTTATCTCCTTCCTTCCTGGGAAGACCCCCAGGACCCACCTAGAAGATTGGGGCCTAGGGGTGGGGTGGGGAGGGATAGTGAGATAGGGACCTGGATTTGGAGAAGCGAAATCCAGAGAGAAGGAGTCAGAAACTGGATGGGGGGGGGGGGAAGGAGGGGGAGATTGGGTGCTCTGGGCCTGATGCGGATGGGGACTGGGAAATGGAGAAAGGAAATGGGGAGATGGGCCCCAGAAGGATGGAGTTCTGAGCTGGGGGAGATAGGGACCAGTACAAAGAGGGGTGAGCTAGGAAGATTGGGGACGCTAGGAGAAATAGGGGCCCAGGGTTGGGGAGATGGAGGTAAGAACCAGGTAGTGGAGACAGAAGTATGGGAGATGGGGATGAGGAATATGGGGATAGGATGGCGTGTTCGAGACAGGGATTCAGGGAGAGAGAACTAGGGTGATGGGACGGCGATGAAGGATATTGGGGGCCTCCTGGAGAATATGGAGACCTAAGTGGGAGTTGGAGAGAGGGATGGGGAGGCAGTGTCAGAACCCTGTCTATGGGACAGTGGGGACTGGGATGGGGTAGACGGGAGACCAGGATGGGAAGAGAGTGAGGGGGGAGGAAGGGGCCGGCACTGGGGGAGCTGGGACAGAGAGAGGGGTGCCCGCCAGGACAAGAAGGGCAAGAAGAAGGGCAAAGCGAAGATGGAGAAACCTCGGTGGGGAGAAACAAGGACACTTCCCAAAGGGCACTAGGAGAACGGTCCCGAACTGGAAAGTTAGCGGGAGGTCTGGGCGGAGAGGAGGGGGAGAGAGGCGCCTGGAAGATGTGAGGTGCAGCGGGGGAAACGAGGCCTGGGAAGGAGGAGATGGCACTGCGGAGGGGCTGTGGCAGGATTGAAAGTGGACCCAAGCTGAGGGTCTCCGCCTCCCTGCCGAGGTCCAGGGCCAGTTCCCAGGGAGATTCTCCGTGTTGATGAGGTCCGACAGCGCGGGACCTGGCACCGGGCGGCAGAGTGGCTGAGGGAGAGGCCCGAGGACGGGAGGGTGGGAGCGGGTGGTGGACCGGCGGGAGGTGGAGGGAACCGGGCGAAGGCCGGCCACAGGTTAACGGCTTTGACGGGAGGAAAAGGGGGGCGGATTCTCTTTCCCTCGCTGCTGCTTTGGGGTCTCACTACGCCGTGTCCGCTGTGACCCCAGCCGGCTCCAGCGAGCCATCGAGAAGCCGCTAAGACGCTCGACCCGAGGCCGAGAGGACGGAGCCGGGGGGGGGGGGCGGGGAGCGGTGCCCTCAGGGCAGGGCCCAGCGGGCCGAGCGCGGCCCTAACCCTCCACTCCCCCCCACCCCCCTCCGCGCCCGCAGTGCCCTACAAGTTCTTCCCGGAGCCGTCGGGCCTGCACGAGAAGCGGAAGCAGCGGCGCATCCGCACCACGTTCACCAGCGCGCAGCTCAAGGAGCTGGAGCGCGTCTTCGCGGAGACCCACTACCCCGACATCTACACGCGGGAGGAGCTGGCGCTCAAGATCGACCTCACCGAGGCCCGCGTGCAGGTGCGTGTTCCGCGCGTGGGTCCGGGGGTGTGCGCTCCGAGAGGACCGGGTTTATCGCCCACACCTGTGGGCCGCGGACCGAGGGGCCTCGCCGAGCGGGTCAGGTGTGGCATGGGGGCGGGAGTCCAGGGCCCGGTGCAGGCGGGAGGCCGGGCCCCGGTGCAGGCGGGGTTACTGGGCCGGAGAGGACAGGCAGCCCGGAGAGGCGTTGGGCCCGGGCCCTGGCAGACCGGGGCCCTCGGGAGAACTGAGCCGGTCAGACCCACGGTTTCCCTCCAGTCCCGCTGGGAGGGCCGGGCACGCAGAGCGGAGCTTGGGGAGCGAGGACGGAGGCTGGGCGGGTGGAGGGGGTGCCCCCGGAGGCCTCAGCTCCCTGCAGGGGCCCGGGGAGCCGCCAGCGCCAGGTCCCCTCTCAGCGCTGCAGCTGCCAGACTCCCGAGCCGGGAACTCCGGGCGGGCAGCGCCGGGCCAGGCGGACTCCGATGTCTGGGTTACAAATTCGAGTCCAGATGTCCCGCTGGTCCGCCCTCACTGGAGACAAAAGGTTTCTCCTAGAGTCCGCGCCCTGGGACACTCTGGCCGGTACCCGGAGCGTCTTGCAGTAGGGAATGGGGCAGGGCCTTTGGGAGCGGAGGAGAGGGAGGCGGGGTTCCCCCCAGCGGGGTCCGCAGACCCTGAGGCCCTGGGGAAAGGGGCAGGTGGACCAGGAGGCCGAGCTGGGGCCGCGGAGGGGCCTCCCGGGAAGCCCGCTGACCCTCCCGGCCCGGCCGCTTCCGGACGGAAGCGTCGCCCGCGGCCCCGGGCTGACCGGCCGCTGTGCCCGCAGGTCTGGTTCCAGAACCGCCGGGCCAAGTTCCGGAAGCAGGAGCGCGCGGCCAGCGCCAAGGGCGCGGCGGGCACGGCGGGCGCCAAGAAGGGCGAGGCGCGCTGCTCGTCCGAGGACGACGACTCCAAGGAGTCCACGTGCAGCCCCACGCCCGACAGCACCGCGTCGCTGCCGCCGCCGCCCGCGCCCGGCCTGGCCAGCCCGCGCCTGAGCCCCAGCCCGCTGCCCGCCGCGCTGGGCTCGGGGCCCGGGCCGGGGCCGCAGCCGCTCAAGGGCCCCCTGTGGGCCGGCGTGGCGGGCGGCGGGGGCGGCGGGCCCGGCGCGGGCGCCGCGGAGCTGCTCAAGGCCTGGCAGCCCGCAGAGCCGGGGCCCGGGCCCTTCTCCGGGGTCCTGTCCTCCTTCCACCGCAAGCCTGGCCCCACCCTGAAGACCAACCTCTTCTAGCCGCCGGACTCTGGAGGCTCCGGGCCTGGCCCCAGAGACGCCCCAGCCCGAGACCCGACAGAGCCCCTCCCCGTCCCGGCCGCCTGCCTGGAAGGTCCCTCCCCTCCCCCTTCCCCCCACTGTGTCTGACCCCTAGGAGTCCCCTCCCTAGTTTTGGAGACAAAGTCAGAGCTACTCTTGTCCTCACCCACCCCCACCCAGCAGAGTGGGGTGCTTTTCCCTGGGACCCCCTCCCCCGACTAGGAGAGCCCAGAGGCGCGTCTAGCTGGGCTTTCTTCCGAACCGGGATCAAACACCTGCCGGTTCCTAACGGTTCCAACGTGAGGGTCTTCCGGGAGGGCCAGCCGGCCCCGCCTCTCTGCGGCAGGCTAGGCCATTCCCGGCCTGGTGACCAGCCGGCTGCCCCACCCCTCAGGCTCACCATAATCAGCAGCCTGAAGGGTCCCCCGATTTGTCCCCCAGCGTTTCCTCCCGTCTGGCAACCAGCCTGGCCCGGAGGGTAGGTCCTCAGAGGAGTGGAGGGGCTGCCAGGCCAATGGGACAGAGGGGTTTCCTCTGGATTTTTGTTTTGTTTTATTGTTGGTCTTTTCCTTTGAGAAACTTGTAATTTATTGAGGTGAGTTTTGCTTAATCCAAATAAAACTTAATTTATTGAAGACATCATGCCGCTAACCCCTCTGAGTGCCCAGGGTGGGGACAGGCTGGCTGCTGGGAGGAGCTGGGTCTCCCTTGCTCCCAGAGGCTGCCGAGCACGTCACACAGACCAGGAGACAGACAGAACTAAGCAAACTGGCACTTTATGGCAGAGATTCATCCCCCATTCCCAACCGCCCCAATAACATTAAAGTCCCTGCCCGCCCTAAACCCACACAGAAAAATCTTAAATTAAACCCAGCCCAGGACTTGGACTGTTCCTTCATTTCCGGATGGACACCCCAGAGTGGGTGTTGGGGAGAGGTCCCAACTGAGCCCCTCCCATGCTACAGACCAAAGAACAGTGGTGAGAGTGAGGGTCCAGACTACCCAAATGGGCCTCTCAGACACTTCTTAGGTCTGAGGGGTCCAGAAAGGATGGGCAGCACCACAATAATCAAGGTCCTTGGTAACCATGGTAACTGACCTCTGGTGCCCCTGGAATAAAAGGCAGGATGTCCTAATTAGGGCATTCCAAATGATTGGGTTGTGGGGAACGCAAATAAATAGGTAGAGAGGTGCTGCCCACCCCTCATAAATTTTCCACTTGGGGGCCACGGCTGGATCTTCGTGGGGGCAGGAAGGGGCGCTGAACTCGCAGCTTCACAGTGCCACCGCTATCACTTGCTGAGCTGCAGGGTGTCCAGAAGGAGGCGCTTGTGAGCCGGGTCCTGCACCCCAGCCTCCTCCAGGTCCTCCTCGGTGATGTCGCTGTAGAAAGGGGTAAGGGAGGCTGAGAGATGGGCGGGGTAGTCCAGACTGGACTCCAGGAGGGCCCATGGCTCCACCCCAGGGCAAGCCCTGCCCACCTGCCCCCAGCCGCACCCCCACCTGAGAAACTCCAGGTCGTCCCAGCCATTGTGCACCAGGCCCTCCTCATAGCGCTCCAAGCCGATGGCCCGCAGCCAGGCGCTCATGCCCGCCTCACCCAGCCCGCCGGCCCGCCCGCTCTGCGGGCACGGGCACGGGCATGGAGCCTGAAGAAACGGGGCATATCAGGGAGAGCACTGAAAGACAGCCACATTCTACCACCGGTCCCAGGGTGGAGGGAGAAGCAAGGATGGGGCTAATTCATGTCTCCCAACTCCCCAGTGCCCAGCTCAGGGTAGAGGGGACACCCTGAGTGCTGACTGGTGTAAAAGGACACTGAGGGGCAAGCACACACCTCAGGTACACAGCCAGCCACCCCTGGTCCACACACCTCCTCTGCCAGGTCCTCCTGGATGCTCTCTCGGATGCGAGGCGGAGGGAAGCTGAGCGGCCGGCCATAGTCTGAGGGCAGTCCCCTGGGCGGCTGCAGCTCCAGGGGGCCTGGCAGGAGCACCGAGCGGCCGGGCCCAGCGTAGTCCACCTCGCTCAGCGTCTTGGCCATCTGCAGCACCGAGCAGGAGCGGTCGTCCCCACTGGCGACCTCCCCCAGGAAAGTGCTAGTGGATGAGGGCCCTGGGGGCAGTGGGGGTCTTGGATGGACCTTAGGGGGTGGTGGGCCACGGGCCTCACCCCCACCGCGACCCCGGACCACCGGCCCTGGCAGAGGATCCAGACTTGGAGGCAGGAAGATGGCCGAGTCTGGCAGGGGTGGGGGTGGGAAGTCCGGAGGGGGCAGTGTGCCCCCGGGCTCCTCATCGGATGAGCTCCCCTCTCCCACTCGGGGAGGCCTGAGGCGACCGAGCTGTGGAGCAGGCACTGTGATGGCCACCTTGTTCTTGGCAGCAGGTGGGACAAGGGCCCTGGCAGGCGGAGGTGGCTCTGGGGGCAGCAGCTGGTGTGGGACCCCTTCCAGGACGTAGTAGGCAGGGTTATTGAAGCTGTTCTTGGGCGGAGGAGCCGTCACCCCTTCAGGCTCTGGAGCCCCCTCTGGCTTCAACCTGGGTTAGGGAGCAGGATAACTAGGTCAGGACCCGGAAACCCAAAGGGAAGGTAGTGGGTGAGGGAGAAGGAAAACCAGACCGGGAGTCGTGAGACACGTGACCTTGAGCATATATCACTATCCCTCTCTGGAGGCATCTGAGGCTGACCTACTGAGGACTCTTACTCAGGAATTCAAGTTAGTTTTACACAAACCTGGCAATAAAACCACGACGACTGAGGACAGCTGAAGATGAGTGAAAAAGCACCCCCTGGACCGAGGAGTTTTTAGTTTTAAGTTCAGGCAACAATTGGATATAATCACTTTCCCAAAGTACGATCCACAGAACACTAGGTATTAATAGTCATTGTGTGGAAAAGAAGTTTCCTGGTCCATTAAGTTTGGGAAACTATATTCATCAAAGTTGAAAAAGGGTTTCCTTCCTGTCCACATGCTCAGAGCTTTGGCTAATATTAATGTGCACTGGGAATATCTAAGAAAAGAAACCAGCAAGAACCCGTTTCCAGGGGGCACTACAGGACGGTGAGTGCTCCACAGAGAGCGAGCGCCGAGGGAGACCCCAGGCTGAGGCGTGAGCCTCCTCCGTACAGGAGGCTCACGAGTTCTGTTTACGTGGAGGGAGCTGTTGCAGAAACAATTTCTAAAGCAAAACTGAGAGGAAAGGCCGACTATGCTCCCTTTGACTCAGGGAGCCACACCTACGGGAGGCCTGGCTGGCCAGAGTGGCCATGGCGCAGGGCCAGGGGCAGACAGTGCCCAGGCAGGTGCTGAAAGCCACGCACAGGGATGGGCCAGGCTCTCTCACCTGGGGGTCAAGGGCTCCTCCCGGGGAGTAGCTCGAGGAGGGGCTGGGGGCCTCCCCGTTGGTGGTGGTTTCTCTGGTTCTTCGAATAACTTGGACAGGGGGCAGAAGGCCTCTGTGGGGGCTGGCTTCCGGCTCCCTGACCTGCCAGGGGGGCACAGGGCAGGAGAGATGAAGGAGGGGCTGCCCAAAAGCCCCCAGGCACCCCTTCACATGACACCCCACAGCCCCAGCTCACCTGGGCTCTTGGCTGCCTCGGGACACAGAGGGGGCTTTGCCTTTTGTTCCTGCCTCATCCTTATCAATGCTGATCCACTCTGGGGGAGACAGGGAGAGGGGACTCAGAGGGGACTTGGGGTCCTGGATCCCGGGCACTCACTGACCTTCCAGCCTCCTCCCAGGTACTCCCTCAGGGCAGGCCCACTCCCAGCCATGGCTGCAGAACTTCCAAACTCTACATTCCAGGGATTCTAGCATGCTCTCCCCACACCCCTAGTCCTCTCCTCCTCGGCCTACCCACCCCACCTCATCTTGTGCCCCAAACCCCTCCCAACGGAGCCCCCACCGTAGAGTCGTTCACGGGTGCCCAGGCGCTCTGTGGGCACCCGCACCTTCATGGAGCCGCGGATGTTGCCCGTCTCCTCGCCGCGGTGGGACAGGAAGGTCAGGAACTGCTGGGCCGTGCTGCCAATCATGGACTTGAGTGCCACCACACACTCCCCTGAAAGGGCAAAGCAAAAAATTGCCAAACCTTTCTGGGGCCCGTGTGGCTTCCTCTGCTCCTTGGTACCCCTCCTCCTTTCCCTCCCCCCTCCCCCCTCAGCCCTCACCATAGGATTCATAGCCGTCCATGGACTTCACTGTGAGCAGGAGGTGCTGGTCCTGCAGGTACTCGATGTCAGCCAGAATGGGTTTGAGCTGCAGAGTGGAGAGGCCCAGTGAGGAACAAAGCCCCCACTACCCCCTCCTGCCTGACACCACTCACCCCTACCCTCAGGCTCATGCATGATCACTTCAACTCAGCTCTTAAGGAAAGAACCCAAATCCTTAATGTAGAAGACACAGCCCTGTTGGGGCCTTTCATGGCACTTAAAAAGCATTGTAACTAATTCACTTTCTGCATCCTCAGTGGCCAACATAGGACCTGACATTTAGCAAAGGTTCAACAAGTAATGATTAAACAAATGGACAAACTGTAACTTGGCCCCAAATGAAGCAAACGCCCTCTCCTCACTCATGCCCACCCCTGACCCCTTGACATGCACACACACGCATGTGCTCTGCAGGCTCTGCCCGCCCTCCCAGGCAGGCCCTGAATATGCTCCACTGAACCCTCTGAGCCCTCACCCACGAACCCCAGGCCCTGCCTGCAGCCTCACCGTGGGCAGCTGGCGTGAAGACCATTGCACTTTGAGGAAGTTGATGTTATCACTGCTCTGGGCATCGTTCTCGAAGCTCTTCTTGTACTCTAGGGTGGAGGTGGGGAACACCCATTAAGTACCACTTCCCAGCTACCCTTCCCCCTAACTACGGGAGGGGGCTAACTGCTCTGGGCACACCTGGCCCCTCACGCCCCGTGGCCCACTCCAGCCCTGGGCCCCTTCTGACCCTCCAGGCAGGTGGAGTAGAACTCAA